CAGGCACCCGAAGACTATTTTACTATTGAGATGAGTGAGTTTCCCACACAGTGGAGCCTCAGTATCATGGTAACTGAGGCACCTATGGGCTACAATAAAATCCAAATGACCTGAATCACATCATAATCAATCCAAAGAAGGCCTTCAGAAGGATGATGTAATAAGCACTTCCACAGCAAATAAGTGCAGTCACTCTTTCTCTACTTAATGCCAGGACAAAACTTTCTATGGAATACCACAGGAATACAAAAAACCTCAAAAAAATGTGCATTTACATGCCAAGTGACAGTAAAATTGGTATTGGTTAAAAGTAGATTTCTATCTCTGTTAAAAGATTATACCTATACATTTAACAAAAAACGCAAATGAATGGCTAAATGAAATGTGAAGAGCTGTGCTGTTTATGGAATAACTCTGTTCTAACAGCAACATAAACGAACTACTTAAAGGATTTTAAAGGAAGTAATAACTGCAGATATTTCTGTAAATGTAAAGTGGATTCTGCTTGTCATACTCCAGGCATGTACTTAAACATTCAAGGAAAAACCAATTTAAAACATCATATAGCAAGGAGAAATAAATGCATTGAACATATTTATGGTTCCACAACAAAATCTTTCTACATTTTTAAAGAGGAAGACAATATTTACAGCTCCTTGTAATTTATTTTGGACTCACAAACTATTCAATACATTTTGTACATTGGTATTATAAATTGTAGATTATTTAGGCTTAGACTTAATTACTCTAGTTAGGTACATATCTTTCCAAACTCAGGAAACATTGCCAATAGAGAGCTCCATGTCTCTCTCAGCTCTATTACTACTCATATATTCAGACAAAATTTCCTCTGAATAACTGCACTGCAAAACTGCTAGTTCAGCACATTGAAATGAATACTACTATATTGCTTTCTTTAATGGAGAATCATCACTGCCAGTAAATAATTTAATGTGGATAGATTTTGATTTGGCCTACATGGCTGCCTAAACACATTTCCATTCAGCTGCTCACAGCATTTTCAATGAGGTCAGCTATAATGCTGTGTCATACTTTCATTTCCTAAGTAAGGGGCGTTGCACTGCTCGCCTGATACGCAGGCGAGGAAATCCACCAGTTCTTGGTAGAAACAGGGCTGTCAGTCATTCAGTGAAAGTGTGACTCAGCAGCTCCTTAGTCTGCACAAGTGCTCTGCACATAAGAGATAAACAGCAGGGAGATGTCTTTCCAAGCACGTAAATTCTCTGGTATGTATATAAACAAAAATGTCCTTACCACCATACAGAATTTATGAAATAATTTTGTTCACTAATTTATTTCAAATCTTCTCTTCACATATAAGGAAGTGTATATAAACTAGGTTATTTAACCATTCCTAATTTTTGCCAGGAATTGATCCCTGGAGATTTCTTTGACTAAACTAAAGTTGTTCATTTTATTTACTAAAAAACTGTACACACTAAGCTAGGAGAGTGATTTTTCTTCCCACACGAAATGGGTTTATGAATTTGAGTCATAATTATTCACAACTAAAAACCATCTTTCAAAATTAAAAAATAAATGGCTACAAATTTTCTACACATGGACACCAGCCCACTTAGAATACTCAGATCTACAGCAAACAGTCTAAAAACGGGAGGGAGAAGTCCTTCCTCAGAACATGCAGAAGAACACACATCAACATGAATACAGAGCAATTGCAAAAAAAAGTCAAGGTAAAAGCTGCTTGCTGCCATTTTATGAAAGACTCCAGGTCTAAATTTCTTTGTTCTCTAACAAAGGAGAAAGTACCTTGAACAATCTTAATTTTCTCTATGACAGGAATCCAAGGGAACTGAAGTTTCTCAGATTGACTAGGACTCTGACTTCAAGAAAGACAACCACACAATGCAGAACAAAGTGTATAAAACCGAATTCTTACTGTGCAAAACATGGGGATCTCAAATGAACTGATCAGGAAGAAGTCTGGGGGAAAAAGATTTAAAAATGGAAGAATTGTTTGTAAATGCCTAAGTAAGCTTTGTCACTGCTTATGATAAATACCAAACATGGGCTCAAAAGTGATTCAACAATTTCATGTAGATGAGTACCAGAAACTATGAAATACAGACACATGGATACAACCTTTGCTTCAGTAAATCCCAAGTCCTAAACATCAGATTGCTCAAACATTCATGGTCAACATCCTATCCTCTTTCCTATCTTTGCCATAGAAAAATCCTCTACTGGCCACTGCCCGACACAAAGTATCAGTTTTTAGGGACCTATTGTGATACTGTAAATAATGATTCTTGTTTTTGTACACTGGAGATAAAAACCAGAATTTTAAGTTCAGTAGATAATGGTTGTCTACCACAAAGTAGGATCCAGTCCTCAAGATGTTTAGGAATAGCAGCAGTGTTACCAATACAAGGCTAATACTCATGTGCACACACATGAATTTACAGAATAGAAATCCAACTGTAATATGTTTTTATTGCTACCTGTTTTCATGGTGTTTTTGACAAGAAATACAAAGTGAGGAGCTGATTTTCTTGGTTCACTGGGGCTTTGTTATGCATCAAAATACAGTGCTTGTTGAACTCCTGCCCTAACTGGCCTTTTTCTTTGCCATATCAGCGCATACACAATTATCCTGTCTGGTAAAGCATAGAAATCTCTTCATAACTACACAATTGTTCCACTTTTATTCCCTTCTGCATACACCTCTTGCATAGCAACCTGCCCAGATAACTTCATCTAATTTCTTAAACTTACATTATTTTTAAGGGAGCCACAAAAATGCAAGTGACTCTCCAAAGATGTGAAGCATTATATGGTTGATAAGCAATGTCCTCCAAGCTCTACTGACACAATAAGTGATACTGATGCACAGGCTGCTGTAGTAATGGCAATAATATCTCTGGGAATTCAAATGCATATCTTAAATTATACTCTCTGCCACCAGCAAATGGTAAAAGAACAAAAATAGTAGCTCTTATTCCCATAAGAATCTAAAAAAAAAATACGTGGAATGGCTTATACAAAATGACAAGAGTTTCAGTTCATTAATAAATACCATTTCCAAAGTGTTTCTAGATTTGTACTATACAAAACAAAAACAAAATAAAACAAAAACAATATAAAACAAAAACAAAAGCAAAAACAAAACAAACACCACAACCTTAAAAAACATATGTAAATTTCACACAGGAAAAAACATCAGAGTTTGCTGAGTGGAAAAGATGAATCAAGATTAACAGAGAAACACTATTTTTAAAACTCCTAAAAATGTTACAGAGTAAAAAATATTAAGCAACAACTATTTTTACAGCAGCTGGCAATGTCCATTTAAGGCTGACAATTTCTTGGAGATGATTAGTACTACATATCACATGGAGCTTTCACTGTTTTGAGTTTATTGCAGTACAACAGAGTAATCTGATGGTCTTAAAACTCAGAATTGATCCCTGTCTTTGGCTTAAATCCAAGTTATAATTATAGTAAATGTACTAATTTTTGAAAGAATACTGCTGCTTATATTTTGACATAGTGATTTTGTTGTTTTCATATTGCAAAACTGAAACTAGACTAGAATAAACACAGAGGGAAAAAATTAAGGCTTAAACTAAGTTTAATATGTAACTCCAACGCACCATCACAAAGCCCAAGAGGCAGGATATGCAATCCTGCATTCCTTATGCACTCGTAATACCTCTTGGCTTCAGTGGAAGTTTTGTTTAAGAAAGCATACAATCAGAACCTATAATTTCATTAATTGCACGCCACAGGCAGTCTATGTGAGGTAAGAATCATGAACCAAACTGGTTGGAAGGATGGTGGAACCCATTAGCCCCGCCTGCATCTTTGTGGACCACTGTGTCTATGAATCCTTGTTTTCCCTCCTCACCCATACTTCCAGCTCTTCCTCGTGACAGACTGCATCTGTCATGTAGACAGCAATGCAGATGTTCCACTCAGGACACATCACAGCTCTCAGCTCTCTGTTACTGCTCTCCATTACCACCCCTCCCCAGACTCTTGGCAGTACTGAGGGCTTCACCCGATGCAGCTCTCTGCTCTGTTGGGATTTTTATATTATTCATACTAGGCACAGACAAAATGAATGTTATGTAGTTACTAGTACAGAGTGCTTTGACATATTACATATTTCATTAGATATCCTTTGGGCAATTTAGGAAGTATCATCTAAAAACCCTGTGAATGAACTTGACTTTTACAGTATTACTGTACACATAACTTTTCCATGCATACCATAAACACAAATGACTCCACTGGGTGTGTGTTACAGATAGTTTTATGGTATCTCTCAAGATTTACTTATGTATGTAGGAAGCAATAGCATGGAAAAAACCTCCCATATTATAAAGGCCTTTTATTTGCTAAAACAGGAGGAAAAAAAAAAAGGGGGGGGGAGCACTTGAAAGCTAGGTTTTTTTCTACATATAAAAACCAATAATCAAATTTTAAGGGAATCCATTCACAGGATGAGGAATTACAGGTGATGTTACAGCGAGGTGTCAATCTATAGATAGCTGTCCACTGCAAACTGACATTTAGAAGCACAGAGCAGATAATTGTTCAGCTACAAAACCCCCATTACCTTCCTGTATAATCAATTGAAAACTCTTGTTAACTTCTACCTCTGTCACTGAACACAATTCAATTTTTACAACACCTACCTAACAACAAACTTACAGGTTATTTTACAACAGCCTTAAAACATCTCCAGATTAAACTTTAAAAAGTTTATTCTTAACTATCCTAAATGCTCGAACTTTGCAAAGAACCTTCCAATGTGTAAAAGCACACAAAAGAACAAAATAAAAAGCAAACAAATGGAAGGTATGAAAATGAGGGTGAGTTAAGGATAAGGAGGATGAAAAAACAAAGGAAAGGGGGGAAAAGAACAAAAGAACACTTTAAAAAAGAGAGAAAGAAAAGCATGACAATGAAAATAAATGAATCGTTGAAACTATGGTGGGAGGAACTGATGAATATTAACTTTTATTATTCCGATTACAAAATACATTTCAAAATTGGATGAAACACATTGTATGTATGTTTTGCCAAGGACATTCTTGGCAATTACAAAGTCAGGAAAATTATAATTCAATCAGTGAGGCATTACTTAAAACCACTTGAAAAAAGCAGATCATTTGAACCAGCAAACAGACTGCATGGGTAAAATTTAAAAGACTGAATATTCTGGAGCAGTACAGATTGCACTCACATGTTGCAGTTCCAATAATGGGGCCATTAGAAATACAGCAATTTTTCTTCCTGGGTGCATTTTACAAATCTTTCTTTTGTAAATGAGCAACAAAGCCTCTTCAACCTTTTCCATATAACATTAGGACAGTTCTAGAAAATAAATAATCAAGCACTTGTAGAGTAAAACTTTTATTTTGCTAAAAATCTGATTTAAACTTCTTTAAAAGCTGTACTTCCACGACAACCAGATCACATTTATAAAGATGGTTGCTGTATTTATCTGGCGCATGTGGGACACTTTACCATGCACCGAATCTGTGCGCCTGCCTTGAAATGGATGATACAGTCCTGAAAACGTTACGAATACGTCATTACGTCTGTTGCTACACTGGCAAAACCCACAACAAACAGGTCACCTTGACCTCTATCATGTACACTGTAATTTCACAGAACTGCTGACAACCGTAGAACGGCATTGACTGAAAAAGGCACCAGGCATTCACCATTCCCATTGAAAAAGAGCGTGCCCTGCGTTGCCCGCAGTAGCGCTTATTTACATATCGCTGTGATTGCGCTGTGAAGGCGAGCGATGCAGCCTTTGGATTTAACCCGTCAGGTTGCCGAAGCCTTTGCAAACTGCCCGTTGCGCAATCGGGCTTTCCGAGGACCGAACACGCCGTGGACGGGCACTCCTGGGGCGGCATCACCACCCGCCACCCCACAGCACCCCGAGTGGCGCTCCGCCGCGCCCGCACACGGGGCGCAGGCGGGCGCCGCTCCGGCAGGTGCGCAGGGCAGGAGCCGGTCCCAGCCCAGAACGCCCGAAGCCGAGCTCCGGGGTCATTTCAATCGCCGCTCCCGCGGAAGCAGGTGCGCCGCCGCCGCCGCCCCTGCGCGCCCCGGGGCTGCGCGGAAGGCGCCGCAGCGCATCCCGCTGCCGCTCCCGCCGCCGCTCCCGCCCCGCCGCGCTGCGGGGGGCGCGTGACGTACCGCGCCGGATGGGGGCGGGGGGACGACTGCAGTGATGGAAAATTTTCGGCTCCTGCATCTCCTGCGCGTGCCCTCGCCGGTCCCCGCCCCTTCCCGGCTTCCACTCCCGCCCCCCACCCCGGCCTCGGCGGGGGCGGTCCAGAATCTTCGGCGACGGTGGCGGTCGGGTGCCGCCGCCTCGCGCCGCCCGGCGCCTTCCCGCCCGCTTCCCCCCGCCTGCCGGGCAAAGCCACCGGCCTCCCCCCTGTCTCAGCCCTGGGGAGGCTCGCGTCCTCGTTAGAGCCGCGGGCACTGCAGTGGGCCGAGGAGCGGGGATGTGGTGAGGGATTCGCTGTCCCTCGACGGTGTGAACTGCTCCCGTGTCCCGGCGGCCGCCGCTGCCCCGGCACAGCAGGCAGGCAGCCGCCCCTCGCACCCTGCACGGGCTCTCGGTGCTGCAGAAGAAGGGAGCGAGGGCGATAACGCAGGGCGTCAAAGGACTCGGTGTCAGGGCATCCCCCACGCTCGAGGCTGGCAGCACCAGACTGGCGTGGGAGTGCGCTGCTGCTGCTGTGAGGACAGGAGCTGGGGAGGCTGCTTTGCACTCCCTGTCCCTCTAGAGACAGCAGCCAAGCGGGCCCCGCTACCCCCGACAAGCCTCCTTTGGAGCTGCTTCAGTGAAACCCCGCCGCCCGCTTCCAGGGGGGCCGAGCAACAAAGCTCTCCAAATCTGGAGGAAAAGGAAGCAGGATGTTCTGTTTCCCCCTCTCTTCCCTACATGGGGTTTATCGTGAATCACATCACTGGGGGCAGTCTGTTATTCCGATTCGCTTCCCGAAGGAAGCGTTCGGGGAGTCCGCCGGCTGCCCTCGGGCTCCGGGCTTGCACGTGCTTTGCTGCGGGTGTTAAAATAGCGAGTGGCCGCAGCGAGGAGCTATGAAGGGTCAGTGGCACCTCGTCCCGGCGCGGGGTGGAAGAGGGAGGCAGGTCCTGGGTGCACCGGTAGGCACCGGGCGCTGCAGTCACGCTGCGGATGCTGCACTGGCCCGGCAGGAGCGCCTCTCAGGCAGAGCGCTCTTGGCAGGCACCGCAGCGCCCTGTCTGCGCCGCGCAAAGCGATGCCCCAATGTAAACACCGGGGAGCTGCTCGGCTCTGGAGCTGGCGGCCGCGCTCCCGCCCCCCCCCGGGCCCCCGCCGCTGACCGGCCCCCAGCCCTCGGCCGGGGACGCCCCCGGCCCTGCCCGGGCGGCGCAGGGGGTCAGTCGGGCAGGGCGGGGGGCGGCGCGGCAGCGGGCGCGCCCCTGCCGTGACACGCCCACATTCCTGCCTGAAGAGCGGCGGCGCCCCGAGGGGGCCGTCAGAGCGGGAGGGACGCCGGAGCGATACAGACGCGATATTTTCTTTCCTTTTGATACCTCTGACTTTTTTACGCGATTTTTTTTTTCTACCTTTATTTATCTAGGGGCTTTTTTTCGCTGACATTTTATAGTTAAGGGGTTTTTTTTCCCCTTGCAAGAAGTATCAGCGGAGACAGGAGAATCTCGTTATTCCGAGGCTTCGGGAGAAACCTTCGCTTTCAAGCTCGTGCGTAGAAGGTATGGCAGGGGCTGACTGTTACTGGGCCGCCAAGAAGAACGGGGCGACTTTTCGGACGGAGCACGGCTCGTCCTTCGCGCCTTTGTCCGGTGGCAGCGCCTCGGCTTGTGGCCAAGACCCTGCCGGGCTCCGCCGAGACGCGCGTAGGGATGCGCCGCCGCTGCATCCCGGAAAGCTGGCAGACCCGCAAAGCGACTGCGGCGCGACGCAGTTCCGCCACCGCTTTGCGTTTTTCCCTTGAAAACCGGGTTGACCGTCGGGTCGCCGGCGGGGAGGCGGGAGGTAAACACAGAGGGGGGACAGCCGCGGGGCGGGAGGCTCCGGCAGCCGATGTGACAATCGCCCATCGGTGTTGCATCAGTCTGCTCTCCGCTATCGGGGCGGGGAGGCGGGGGGGGGAGGGGGGCAGTGCGGCGTGGCGGTGCCGCTGCCCGGGCCGGGCGGTGCTGGTAGCAGTGCCGGTGGCAGTGCCGGTGGCGGTGGCAGTGCCGGTGGCGGTGGCAGTGCCGGTGCCGGTGCCGCCCCGGCGCGGGGCTCACCTTTGTCCGCGCGCCCCCCGCCCCGCGCGCCTGGTACTTTTCCACTCGGCGGCGGCGGCGGGCGGGGGCGCGGGGCCACGTGACGGGCTCGCGCCCGCTGCGGCACTGACGTCGCCTCCCGCCCCCTCGGCAGGCGCGGCGATCCCGCCGGCAAGGACAAAAGAGCGGCCGAGCCCCGACCCCCGCCCCGCCAGCATGAGCAGCGCCGAGATGGGCAAGTTCAACATCTCGCCCGACGAGGACAGCAGCAGCTACAGCTCCAACAGCAACGACTTCAGCTACCCCTACCCCACCAAGCCGGCTGCCATGAAGAGGTGAGGGCGCTCCCCGCGGCGGGCGGCACCGGCCGGCACCCGGCGGTGCCGCGTGTCTCGGCGAATCCCTACGGAAACACGGGAATCGCTGCGGCCGGAGACGGGCGCGACGCTCCGCGCGCTGGCACAGTCGCAGGTGGGGTGGTTCTCTCGGGGTTATTCCACCGGCTTTTCCTTCTCCCTCTGAAGTGGATTGGAAATGCTGAGCGGGAAGTGAATATGCGAGTTGCCCCTAAGAGTCACTAATGATGTAACGTTGGTTTGCAGCCACTATGCGGATATTGATCCAGAAAACCAAAATTTCTTGCTCGACTCCAATCTCGGAAAGAAGAAATACGAAACTCAGTATGTAAGTACCCGGCGATGACGTTCCAAATAAACAAACAAACAAACAAAAATGTACTGCCAATTTTATGTTTGTTTTAATTCTGAGATGAGTAATGACTTTCTGTTAATTATTACCTATCCGTCTTTCCTCAGCATCCGGGTACTACTTCCTTTGGAATGTCAGTATTTAATCTGAGCAATGCTATTGTGGGTAGTGGCATCCTTGGTCTTTCTTTTGCCATGGCTAACACTGGAATTGCTCTTTTTGTGTAAGTATCTTTCAATTAGTCAAAAAATGCCCCCATCTTTCTGGTGTGTAATTCATAATGGAAAAATACATGGTGTAAGAATATGAAACCCCTAGAAAACATCCAGTCATTTTCATAGGTGCAGAATTGCATTTTAGGCTTGTTTTAAATTCAAGGATTGTGTTACATCAGAAGAACCTGCAAAAATTAAATCAGTTCATTGCAAGTTCTGCAACCCTTGAAAACATTTTACAGTGAATTTTACTTGACTTAGCTGTAGTTTCTCCATGAATAACTGATAGACTTCCCCTGAAAGTTCTATTACCCAAGTCCCAATCAGGGATGTGGTCTCACTTTTCTCAACTGATATCACTGTGCCTACAGAGTTACAATGTACTTAACCAATAAAGAAGTCTGTTTTATTGCTGTGCTTTCACTCTCTTCAGGGTTATGGTTTCAGTTACACCTATAAAAATTTCTGTCTGCCTGCAAGGGAGGGATGTGGAATAACCAGCCTGTCTTTATTGGCCTGTCTACACTGGCAAAAGCTTTGAGGTGTGGGGCAGAGCTACAGTAATGTAATTGGAAATGACATAAGGATACAGTTATGTACAGTGCTTTTAAATGTCTTGGGAAAGTACATTTTTCACGTATTGGAGGCAGTTCAGCTCAACATGTAGTATCAGTGACTTGACTGCAAATGAGTACCCATGGATATGTTTAAAGGAACTTTATGGTTTTATCCTGGAAATAGATGAATGTGCTGAATGTTCAAGAACATGTGAAGAGCAATGTTTAGTTCAAAATTTCCCTGACTCTGCTGCCAGATTTCCAGAAAGTAGGTCAGATTTACTTCCAGATGTTTCACAGTATATCGGGTGGCGCTCAAGTTTCCTGAGGAAACTACCTACGTGTGAAGTTCTGACCTAAAGGATTTTAAACATATGGTGATTTGTTAATCTTTTACTAAGATTTTCAGTTGCTTAGATGATGCTAAGCTGAATGAATGACTTAGCATGAATCTAAAATAGATATTCACACTCTAAAGACGTTCTGCAGTACGTGAATGATAATCAATGCAATGCGCATTAGAATGTCTCTGAGGAGAGGAAAAAAGAGAATTTAAGGTTAGCTATTTGAACAGACTTCGGGGATCCTCTTTTCTGAGGAAAAAAATGTTTAAAACTGTCAATTTAACAATTGGGTGCTGAGGCAATTTAGTTGCTTTTTATTTCCAGATGCTGCATTCAGATCTATTGGCATTAGTGCTGTTTCAAAGACAAACTAGCTTGTTACCTTTCAAAGTTTGTAGATAGTACAGTTCTGAGGCAGGAAAGCAGTTAATCACAGATGATGCTGAGGATTTATGATGACAGTGAGGGCATTACAGGCATCCCTTAATAACTAGGTTACAGAATCAGATCCAGATGCAGTTGATTAGCGCAGTGAGTTCTTCGAAGTCTATGGAGGCACTTGTGTAAGTGCTGTGACTTGTCACTTGTGTCAGCACTAAGTAAATGAATAGAATGGTTTGGAAGCCAGAAACAGGGTGAGCTTCAAGATGAGTTTGCTGTCTGGTCTTGTCTGCACTGTAGGCAGCCATTCCATGTTAGGACTGAGAGATCCAGGATCTGTGCTGTTTTAAAGTAGCGTAACCCTGGCACATCTCAGCTGTGCTGTTTCTACCCGATGGCTGAGTCAAATCCTAGTTAATCTCTACTTGTCAGAAATAGAGAGGTTTATTTGTGTGCATGTGTTAGTGTTGAATTGGTGCAGTAACATCAATTTCCTGCGCAGATCTGTGAAACTTCTCTGATCTTTTTGTTTCCAGTTCTTTGTGCTGCATTTACTAATTTTACCAACATTAAAAATGACACAAAAGGAAATGTATTCTGGGAAGCAAAGTTTGCCCTTATAAGCCATTTTTAATATGATGATTTTCAAGTTTTCTATTAAGCAAAATGCTTGTATTGGTATAAGAAAGACCAGGGTTTTTTTTTTTAATGCCTTGTAATTTTCCACTGTGTTCTCCAGCAGCCGAGAAGTCCCCCCTAGCGTGCCACTCCAGGAAGTGCATTTGTTGTGGGAGAGATTTGTTGTTGAGAGACCTGAATTTTAGGTGATGCAAATGTGCTTCTGGAAATAGTGTGCATTGCCTGTAAAAGCTGTGGGGAAGATAAACAAGACACTAGCGATTCCCATGTAAGCACATCTGAAGAGTTAACTTTCGAGGAAAGAATTTTTTTTAATGACAATAGATGCGTATTTCCATTTGAAAACACTGCTCTCACTGAGTTCTGAATTTTCAGTCAATTCTTTAAGGCTTTTGCAGTTTCATCCTTACATTAAAAAAAAAAAAAAAACATAACACAGATTCAAGCTGAAAAGCTGATTTATTTTAAGACCAAGAGATAATCTTCACTTCAGCTGTAGTTAGCCTCAGTGTTGAACAGGGACAGGAAGACAGGGGAAAATAGAGTTTCTTATAAGGATGCAAACCTTCCCCCCCACCTGTACACATTCCCATTGATACTTTGTTATTTATTATCAAATGTAGCCAAGTGTAATAGCCTGACACTTGGTGATGCTTATGCCACTTCAGACTGAATGGAATCCTTGTTCAAGCCTACATTAGAATTTCTTTGTATGCCTCTGAAATGCAATTTAGTATAAAATCCTTTCTACATATGGCATTAATTGGGTTCTCAGAACACTTTTAAAATACAGACTTACAATTTCAGAACACTTTAACAGCCCTTAGAATCTACTTTTTTCCCATATAATATTTTAATATGGATAATGTTTCTATTTGATACATCTTTATTTAATAGGGTTACAAGAAGTCATTTATGGCTATTACAAATTTCTGTGGTTTTCTCTCCCCAGGATACTCCTGCTGTTTGTCTCAATATTTTCTTTGTATTCAGTGCATCTTCTTTTGAAGACTGCCAATGAAGGAGGTATGGCAAATTACTATTTTACAAATATGTAGTATTTGTTTCTTATGGTATCTTGTTGAAATACACCCTTCCAATGGGATATCGTATTTTCTTTTAGGATCTTTGTTATATGAACAGTTGGGAATGAAGGCTTTTGGTATGGCTGGCAAACTTGCTGCTTCTGGATCAATTACAATGCAGAACATTGGAGGTGAGGACAAGATCTTAAAATGTCTGTACTGTCATTAGTAATTGTTCCCTGCTTATTCTTGGAGACTTATTTGTCACACAACATGTGTTCATTAACTACTTGTGTTCAAGTGAAGTTATGAAACATGTTATGTGATTCTTGCATCGTGTGGCATATTCTATATTTGTAATTATCTATGATGTTATTCACCTACAGCTATGTCAAGCTACCTCTTCATAGTGAAATATGAGTTACCATTGGTCATCAAGACATTTATGAACATCGAAGAGACCACAGGGTAGGTGTTAGAACTCCTCATCAGAGAAACTATTAGGAGAAACAAATACGGAGACTGTATATATTTTTATATGAAGACCACGTTCGGTACACCGTAGGGTAGCTTCTTATTCAGACAGAGATACAGTAAGTTTCCCCTTCCCCTGAGTGCTTCACTTCATTTAGATCCAGCCTGACCTGGAAAAGGGTAGAAAAATACAGGTATTGCATCATATTGCAGAAAGCTGTTCTGTAAAGAACATCAGGTAAGTGTTAATGTATGTACCAGTCAGTACATACACTTGATAAGGAAAGATAAATGTGATTGTGGTTGGTTTTTTTGTTTTGGTTTTTTTTTTAATTATTATTATTTTCTTAATGCATTCAAAACTGTTTGGTGTGATTAATTTGGTTTTCTAGTATTAATATTGTGGCAAATGATTAAATGGAAGACTGAGGTGCAGTTATGCAAGGAATGTGTTAAGGAAAAGTTCTCAAAAAGATTCAGAGACTA